GTACACTTACCTGCAGTATAATCGTGATTATACAAGTCCTCTTGAGGTGAGAATCAATTCCCACCCACTCATCTGATCTTAGATGGTTGTTCCCAGTTCCCATGATTCTCCCCATGTTTATTGGGGTCTTGGTGTTTCGATTTGGTCTTATATGATCGAAGTTGTATGTTGGTTTTTGGCAGTTAGCCAAATTGAAATTTTTGATGTTTTGGTTGTCTTTTAACTACTTTTTTTATGTAGAGAATAAATAAATATTTAATTAGTATATTGAGTTATGGTTTGTTACTGTTTAGAAAAGTTGCCTTTTTAGTGATATTTTCTGAGTGCTAGGTTGCATGCGCATATTGTATATTACAGCTGATTTTTGTAGCTCGAGTCGTAATAATTATTAATAATATGCCCCACCCTGGAAAGTATCATAGGGTGGTTCCAATGATATTTCAGCCCAACCCGGATATATAGTACTTTGAAAGGAGGTCGAAGTTCACAGAAGGCAGGAGTTGGGTAATTTTAGTTTTGAAAACTGGTGAGCCGCCAAGCAGCTGGGGAAACGCGAATTGATTCTCACCTCAAGAGGACTTGTATAATCACGATTATACTGCAGGTAAGTGTACCTTTGCATAATCATTAACTATCGTTCAATCTCAAGTGACGCTTCATCCTCCAGCATCTCGTTAGGACGATGACGTCATCCCGGGGCGCAACGTCATAGGTCATGACCGCCCTTACACATGGGATCATGTGACCACCAGAGTCTATTGATCAGGTGACTGCCAGCTGGCCGGCACTACAGCTATTCAATTACATATCCAGCCGTGTCTTTTCCACAGTCGACCCGTCACCTAGCAACAAATTTACTGCAGAAAGCTAGTTACGAGACAAGGTTGGTTACAAGTAAACCTATGCGCACACTAGCGCGTGCATGTTAAAAGTTGAGTAGAAAATGAACGTACACAGTTGTAATGTTAAAACCAACTGAAAAAAAGCAAGCAAAGTAAATCCATATAAAGTACAAAACCTAATACATCCGATTGTACTTACTCTTTCCCAAGCATGGCTTTGACACAAGATGTTTTTCCAGAACCCTCGTTACCTAGGAACATCAGTCTTGAATTAACAACTGTTATTTCACCGTTTTCAAGTGCATCTTTGAATGCTTTAACGGCATCGGGACCCCTGGCTAAAATCTCTGACGGTATTGATAGTTCTATTTCATACAAACAAACCAAAAAAATCAAATATTTAAATATTAACCGTACTCGCGCGAATAAGCGCCCCGTTTGAATAAGCGCCCTTTAAGCGCCCAATTCTAACTTAATAATCCAATCAATCCTGGGACTGTGGATGTTGGCATGATTTGAGGTGGAGTGGAATCACATTCTTCTTTAGTCAATATCAAAATGAGGATATTTATCTTGGACAGATGAGGGCTCCCTGGACAGACAGTATATTTCCAACTTTCATCTTCTTACATTTGTCTATAGCCTAGTCCTACATCTTTTCCGACAATTTGCAACACATTCTCATCTAAGTTTTCAAGAAAACCTGCAATGATCATGCCGTCCTGCTATTCTCAATCGGCCGATGGCCAACAAGCTAACCACTACCACTAATTTCATCTGCTATTCTGCTGTTATGTAATACTGTACTCACAACATTCTTGTCATGACAAGTCATGCTCTCTGTACGATTATCTTTTCAGCCGCACCACCATTCGTAATTTTCGGTTTCCTGATGTCCTTATATAATCGTTTTTCATTCAAAATGTACCTCTTGAATTTAATAAGTTCTTCTCATAAGAACCCCTCGATTTTCATGTATTTCCAACAGCGCCCCCTCAATTTCTACTCTGTTTTCATAAGCGCCCTGTTCGAATAAGCGCCCCTCAAAAAGTGCAAAAAATATTTTAAGCGCCCGGGCGCTTATTCGCGCGAGTAAGGTATGTTGTGTCTTTCTATACTGATAGTTGTTATTTAATTCACTTTATAAATTATATGTATTTTTATTAATTACGATAACATTTTGTTTATAATATTAATATAACACAATGGGAACAATATTACCCGTATTTTTTTTTTTTTTAATGGCTCGTTCTTTTTGCAGAGCATTTGGTAAGCAATGTTTAAAATAAACTTATTGTGTATTATTATTTAAAAAATAATAGAAAAACTGTGTAAGTTAAGTGTTATCGTACCTTCAAGTAAATCTCTTAATTCCTTCTTTTTCTCGCTTCTCGTGGTTTCTTCGTATTCTTCACATTCGTTATCATCATACAAATCAAGAGGCGTCTTTCTATCCTGCAATAGGTAGTTTTCGCCGCACGACGTTATCTTTACTGTAACGTTAGTACCCAACATGCAAACGCGATAGCTCCGCCCCTTTTGTAAAAAAAATTGAAATACGCATGCGCAAACCAACGTACGTCGAGCACGTAAAATCCTAAAGTTTACGTGCTCGGAAACACAAAATCAATAAATTATGACGTCTCATCCGTTAAAGTTAAGGTTAACGTTGTGCGGCGAAAGGTTAAACTACCTACTGGGTAATTCCGTGTCAAATCAACCAGAGGTCCCAGGTCGACTGTCTCGGATTTTGAAGAAAACTCCATAAAAATCAACATACACAAAAGAGCTGCAAACTTAACTTGGATTATTCATATCCTAATATCTTCGGAAGTTCAACGCCTATAACCTACAGATTTTGTGGTGTAGATCAACTTTTACTGCTGATTCCAAATCTGCAATCAGTTTGTAGCATGTACCAATTTAGAAAAGCAATGGTCTAAAAATGGACAAAAACCTGTCTGGACCATTGTTCAGGTAGCCGTTTGCGCATCTTGAAGAACCACGCCCCTTTTTTTGAGGAGTCAATATCTCAGAAATTACAAAACCTATAACTAATTTTTTTTAGTGTTGCTTTTTCACATAGTGGATCATTTTAATGGAGTTTCATCAAAATCTGAGAGGGTCATACTTATTTGAAATCTGGTTGATTTGACACGGAATGACCCTACAAACGACACGAGCACGCGGTGATTCATTTCTTTTCAAGTCGGTTGCAAATTAAATCAACAGAAGAACAGTAGTGTATTTTGGATAAATAACCATAATAATAATAAAATTGTAAATAATAATTTAAATAATCAACACTATTAGCATTATAACTTTATAAATATTCTTGTAAATTACATCACATCGGAAATAAAAATATTAATTAAAATCATACTTCAAAAAGAATCATTATCATTATTCAATATGATATTAATCGATTTAATATTTTATGAATTTATATTTATTACGTTGGTTTTAATTAGTAAAAATGTTTCTAGTAGTTTCATAGAAAGTTGTTGTATTAAGGTCATTGACTGATATTCTTTTGATGCTTTTCATTTTTCTGTACATTACCCCATCTTTTACTGTGGCTGAAGCGCCGAAAGTGATCAGGCGAATTGCCATGTCCTTGTGTTGCTCGTAACTATGCGTCAGCCCCCAATGACCACGTAGACTGACATGTAGTGGTGTGCGTCCCCACTGCAATGAAATGATAATCAACGTCAATTTTGTTGTACACGCACAACACAAGAATATCAATTAACAAATATTACGCAAACGTAAAAGTACCTGAAATAATTACTTATTTAACGCCAATGTAATATGAATTAATGATAATAATAGGCCTATTAAAATTTATCATTATGATATTGATTATAATATTAAGATGATGATGATAATATCATGACGACAAAGATAATTTAAATATATATTAACATAATGAAATGATAATATTATTCCTGCTAATAATATTTATAATGAAGATATGCCGATGATGGTAATGGTGATGATGATAATGACACTAACAATAGTAAACTGTAGTGATAATGGTGTTAAGAAGGATATTATTGAAATATGGCTAGTTATACACGACGGGCAGTACTTAGTACAGTAGTTAGAAGATACAACAATTAAAAAAAAAAAAAAAAACAACAACAATCTCAACCCAGTATATCCATAATATTAGTATATTAATATTTAGCTATTACTAAATTAGAACGTGATGTATTTAATGTATTTGTGAGTGAATTAATGTAAATTTGTTAGCAATGAATAAAGTTCTTCTACTGTACTCACGATGTCTTGTGTGTTAATGTTCCTGTTGGTTTTTTCTAACACGCGTCTCATAGCTGACACGCGTGCGTAGAACACCAATTCATGGAGTATAGTGGAACCACCAAAATGCTACAAGACAAATGTAGAATATGATGAGAAAGAAATTATAAACAACAACAACAATCTATACACACACACACACACCACATCAACAACACATAAACAACTCACAAACACATACATTACTTATTACATCATCATCATTATAAAATACTAATTACATTGTTTAATATTTTAAAAATGTGGTTTTTTAGGCAAAATCGGGCAAAAAAATATTTGTATCAATTGGCCTATGTTTTACCCACACTATCAAATTATTTACAAATTGGGAATTTTAGCGAGAAAACTTTTTGTAAATAATATCAATTTTATTGTAACCAATTTATTCAGTAAACTGTGTTAGAAACAAATCCAAACATCACTATTTTTGTAAGTGTAAAATGTATTTTTTCACAATGTTTCAAATGAAATAGTGATGCCTTAACATAGGCTTTTTCTGTGCTGTAAAAAATGTCAAATATAACATGAAATAAGTGTCTCATTTTTAACTGAACATTTAATAAATCACTGTATTTGTATGATGTGTACACATGTTGTGTGCTTGTAATGTTTAAAATGCAATGATATTTAATTCCACTTACCGTCTTTTGTTCAAAATTCTCAACAGTCGCCGTTTCAATCATATTCTCCAATACATCATCTGGTGCGTTGCTCACAGCGTACATTAATGGCGTCTCGCCATTCTACGAAAACAAACATGACACTGAATTACGATACAGTTCGTAGAGCTACCAACATTATTTTTTACGAGTTTCTCAATTTTAATGGTACGATGATATTCCAATATCATTTAAGAATTACAAAATTATAAACAGTTAAAAATGTGTGTTATAATACACTTTTATTTTATTTTATTAATGATCAATTTTTGGTCATTTTTTTCCCATAATTATTAAGAGTTAAACAAGATTAACAAAAATATTGTAATATTATTCATAAGTGTTTTGGAAAAGGGAGTAAGATACTGTGTCAGTGAAAAGGTCTATACATAAACTGGTAGTTGTTTAGCAATGGTATATGTTTAGCATGTTAAAAATGACATTAATGTACTAATAATATTACTTAAGAATATTATTTAAGGCTACCTAGTTGTTAGACCATGGTTTGTGTTTAGTATGTTAAAAAATGATATTAGCATGTCTATCTTTTGTCAGTACAGTATGGTAGGCCTTATGCCTTGTAAGCCTAATTATATTTACCATATTGTTATGAATATAATATTGTTACTAAAATTGCATTAATTTCTTATGTATTTATTTATTCTGGTTAATATTTTATCCAAATTCATTAGTAAATCCACATCATTTAATTATTGATATCACTTTCATTTCTCAAGAGAAAGTCGATTAATTGATTTGTTGAATTAAAAAAATAGTATTATATTAATAATTTGATCAGATGTTATGTTTAAATAACTGACTGTCACAGCTATTTGAAAATAACCTAATTAGATTAAAAGAAATAGGGCCTACTTGATGAGACAAGGTTTATTGTGTTAAGAAACAGGAAAGCATTCCACAACTGACTGATAATGATTTAAGTTTGATATTTGAAATGAAAAGTGGGACAAATTTCTAATTTAAATCAACCAATACCAAATATTGTAATATTATTCATAAGTGTTTTGGAAAAGGGAGTAAGATACTGTGTTAGTGAAAAGGTCTAGACATAAACTGATAGTTGTTTAGCAATGGTATATGTTTAGCATGTTAAAAATGACATTAATGTACTAATAATATTACTTAAGAATATTATTTAAGGCTACCTAGTTGTTAGATCATGGTTTGTGTTTAGTATGTTAAAAAATGATATTAGCATGTCTATCTTTTGTCAGTACAGTATGGTAGGCCTTATGTATCATTAAAAATATCTAATTAACACATAAATTCAAACCCCTCTAATAAGATTGATTTACTTAGGGCCTAAATTTACTTACAGCCATTCATCGCCAATTATTATTATTATTATTATTATTATTATTATTATTATTATTATTATTATTATTATTATTTTATTTACAACTTAACGAAAAGCATATGTATTACCCATTGATATAAGTCGTATTAAAAATTCTGTACGTTTTTATCTACTAATAATATTACTTAAGAATATTATTTAAGGCTACCTAGTTGTTAGATCATGGTTTGTGTTTAGTATGTTAAAAAATGATATTAGCATGTCTATCTTTTGTCAGTACAGTATGGTAGGCCTTATGCCTTGTAAGCCTAATTATATTTACCATATTGTTATGAATATAATATTGTTACTAAAATTGCATTAATTTCTTATGTATTTATTTATTCTGGTTAATATTTTATCCAAATTCATTAGTAAATCCATATCATTTAATTATTGATATCACTTTCATTTCTCAAGAGAAAGTCGATTAATTGATTTGTTGAATTAAAAAAATAGTATTATATTAATAATTTGATCAGATGTTATGTTTAAATAACTGACTGTCACAGCTATTTGAAAATAACCTAATTAGATTAAAAGAAATAGGGCCTACTTGGTGAGACAAGGTTTATTGTGTTAAGAAACAGGAAAGCATTCCACAACTGACTGATAATGATTTAAGTTTGATATTTGAAATGAAAAGTGGGACAAATTTCTAATTTAAATCAACCAATACCAGGGGCGACCAGGGAACCGTTCCCTGCCAATACGATATATCATTAAAAATATCTAATTAACACATAAATTCAAACCCCTCTAATAAGATTGATTTACTTAGGGCCTAAATTTACTTACAGCCATTCATCGCCAATTATTATTATTATTATTATTATTATTATTATTATTATTATTATTTTATTTACAACTTAACGAAAAGCATATGTATTACCCATTGATATAAGTCGTATTAAAAATTCTGTACGTTTTTATCTATTTTGTTTTATTAACGTATAGTGCCTCATTAATTTACTTTGTGTATACTGTTTTTATGTATGTTATATCAAGGCAATTCAACAGGTTATATTGTTTCATTGTATAAGCACTGGAAAGCAAATTTCATGTATACTTTTATATGTGACAATAAAATGTATTTTGAATTTTGAGTCTTCAATCTTGATATTGAATGCCATCAATATTGTGAAAGTGCAAGTTCAAATAAATATTGGTGAACTACAGAGGGCGCTCAGGGTCAAAAGTGAACGTGAAATTTGGATATGGTTTCGTAGTCAGATTTGCGAGAAAAATTTCAGCTACCCGTATTTCTCGACTGAGACGTCAGTGGAAGCTGTAATTTGTATGGCAAGGAGACTGTTCAACCCTTAATTCGTATTAAGGGAATTTACGCCCAGAAACCTTGTAGTTATTAATATTTTGGTTATAATATATTTGGTGACGTCACACTCACATTAGTTAGCATGCATATTTCATAAGCAAGATTACGTCACCTTTTCCTGGTAAGGCAAACTTTCCCGGTGTGCTTTTTTCGAATGTAGGAATAAAGCCACCCCTGTCCAAAGCCACCCTGTCCAAAGCCACCCAACAATGGATTTTACCATTGTAAGATAGGGGTGGACAATGGGGTGTTTGTCTTGATGCTGGTCTACAATAAGTTTCTGCTGCAGTGCTAGGAGTGTATGTGTATCAGCTTTTGTGTATTATGAATTAGAAACTGGGTGTAGTCTACAGTACATATAGGCATAAACATCATCAGCTTCTCCTAATGATGCAATTGAGTGGTTTCTGGAAGGAAGTGTATTTTTTTTTTTTTTTACAGTCAACATTTTATTGTTTTTACAGTGTACCGTAATATTAATTTCCTTTACACAGGCATAAACATCATAGCTTTTCTTAATTATGCAATTAAGTGGAAACGTATTTTTTTAAAAACTTTTACTCTTTTTCTTTTTTCAGTAGTATTAATATTATTTTTTTTATTATAATAAACTTTTTGAGAAATTACTATTAATTATTGAACTAAAAAAAATGAATAAGTAGGACATTTCGATGACACTGCCTTTATGTTATATGTATGGCCAGACAAATTGAATTTCCACAATGATAAATTTATGATTGAGAGGCATTTATGTTCCACTATAATCATTAACATAGTAACCACCTTACTTTGATTGCTGTTACTTCTGATACAATTAAGAATAATAAATAATCAAAAAAGTGAGAAAAAGAAAATATAGTCTTGCATTACAGTATACAAGTATAACAAAAGTAAAGTATACCTTGTTTTTACGTGATAAAATACTGTCTATTAATATTGTATATCAATAGTAATGAAAGTATGTATAAAAACATAAATCAATATTATCATATAAAAATTTTAAAAAACCCCCACTCAATTGCATCATTAGAAGCTGATGATGTTTATGCCTATATGTACACTACACCCAGTTTCTAATTCATAATACACAAAAGCTGATACAAAGGCACTCCTAGCACTGCAGCAGAAACCTATTGTAGACCAGCATCAAGACAAACACCCCATTGTCGACCACCCCTACCTTACAATGGTATAATCCATTGTTGGGTGGCTTTGTACAGGGGTGGTTTTAGACAGGGGTGGCTTTATTCCGATTTCCGACGGAACTGGTGCCCATAAACGCTTACCAAACTTTGTGTACGACATATTGAAGTAGAGAGGGCGCTAGACCGATTTATTTAGTTCTCAGAAGCATCTTCGCGGACGCTTGATTATTAAACCGCCAGTTTTTAGTTAATTAAAGAGAATGACAATTTTGTTTTCAATTCTGTATAGCAGATTAAATTTCTTTTTAATCATAAAAACCCAGAAAATACGTAAACATATTTTGTGCAAATAATTGTGAACTTTGTGTTGTGTTCGAACTGCACATGATCTTATTTTAATATGATTCAATAAAAACTCTGAAACCAAGAAAATCACGTCATAAATCTGAGTACTTGCCTCATTCCTAGTTTCAATTAGGTGTGGCTCATTCTCAAGGATGTTTCTTACTGCTGGCCAGTCCTCTGTCACTATAGCCTTTACTAATTTGTTACTGTGACATAAACAAGCAAGGAAATGATTTTTTTGCTTACACATGTCTGTCATTGTACCTGATTATGAATATTAATTCTCAACATCACCGTTATCCTCATCACCATAAAAATCGTTACTAACATGTTAATGATTAGATATACAGTATTGCTAAAACAAAATAAACAACCACTGCAATAACCACATAATTAAATTAAATTCATTTACAGCATAACAACTTTTAATGTGTCAGTAATTTTTTTATTTTTTTTTTATTCGCTTGTCTAATTAACATTATTAAAATTTGATAGAGTACCGCACTCACTTGGACCATGGAGGTATATCCATGAACTTATCGTTGGATGATGATGAAGAATCCATCGGTGCTTCGTAACGTTTTATATCAGTTATGATTAGTGAGATACCTGTGAATAGTACCGTAGTACATAACAGCTTTATTTAATTACAACGGAATAAGAAGTCAAAACCAAACATACACAAACTTTACAATTCGAACAAATAGCAAGAACAAAATATCTAATATCCACAAGCTGCATGATTGGCTGTCCTCGTCATGTGATTTTGAATTATTCCACTTCTACTTCTGTATGCCTCTACAAATCATTCGTTTGAATACATAATAAATTTAGAAAATATTGTACAGTATCATCAGACATGATAATTGTAATAATAGTATGTTATAATGATAATTTAAAAAATAATAGGCCTAACCATAATGATAAATATAATAAAATCAATACAATGACCACGTCAATTCTTTCAGATAATTCGTATGACACCCCTCCCTCCCACACTTATCTTCGCCATCCACTAACGCTGGATATTTCATTGCTGTTCACGTATAATCCGCTTCTGGTATCGGTCCAAACGGAAGCTGGGTGTGGTAAACGATGTTCTAGACGGTAAAATGTTTTCTGAGGCCTACTGTCTACACTCTATTTAGAATGTACTATATTTTAAATCCTTCTCAATGAAAGTGTCAATAAATAGCCATTAGCCCTAAGCAAATATATTGTAATGAAATGTACTCACTTTTAGGAACTAAAATGGCCTCGAAAATGTACCGTACTGTAGTGTTGATTTGTGCTTAGGGTTGTGTCGAGGAACCGGTTGAACAATTGGCTAGTTCGTTTGTTAACTAATTATTCATATCTACGTCACGAAACATTAAGTTATTGTTATAAAAATTTATTCATAATGCGGGTCACGAATTGGAACCGTTTGTGCACCGGTCCTTGAGCCAGCCATAAGATTTCACGGTGTACGGTAAGAATGGCCCCGGAAAAAATGGCCCCGGAAAAAATGGCCCCGGAAAAAAAGGCCCCGGAAAAAATGGCCCCGGTAAAAATGGCCCCATATGACAGGTAGGTAAAAATGGCCCCAATAATCAAATCCTGTATTAAAACTGATTTTCTTGATTCAATATATGCATTTTTTTATCTTAAATAATTTAGTTTTTAAAAGGAATCTAACATCAAACAAATTGCCATTTACATTTTACTTTTTGCAAGAATT